GGCCCGGCACCGGTCCGCGGACCGGGGGTTGGGGACCACTGTTCTAGAGTTCCTGGAAAACAACTGGTGGATGGAAGCTATTAGAGACAATAGTCAGAGGAAGATTTGCCAGGTTGCAGATCCAATAAAAAGAGATGGACTTTAACATCTTTATTCCCTGATTGAAATACAAGGAATAAAGAAGAGGGCTCGCCCATTGTGGCATGTTTCTTTGTGGGTACAGCTAATCATGTTTGTGTATAACTGGAATCCAAATAGGCAGGGTTGGGGGGAGGCAGATTGATGCTTTGACATGTTAACCTGAGGTTCTCATAGGAGTTGAGGATATGGATACATGCTCTTCTACCTGTAGAACAGACCCATGCCTTACGTGCTCCCTTTGGGAAGCCAGGTGGGATATGTATTACTAAGAGGTGCTCAATGCCCCTCTAAAGGAGAGTGAGATGCCACCTGCCTTGAAAAAAATGGTGCTACACCATCTCTCGAAGAGGGTATCCTTCAATCTCACTACACTGTAAAATTTCTGCCCTGTTTTCCCTTTCTGGGGAGTGTTGTTGAAAACATGGATACTACAGTAGAAGAAATTGATTTTCTGTTCCCTTTCAGTTCCCATTCAGGCATAGATATGGATGAAAAGCAGCATTGATCATCCTGGAGAAGATTCTTAGGACATAAAATGGGGAATCTGTATCCATCTTGGGTCTTTGTTGTTAAACCTTTCAGTAAATTCAATACCATTAAACATGGTATTTTTATGGATTGCATGAAAGATCAGGGGACTGGAGGCACTGTTTTATGATGGGGTTCTGCTGCTACCTGAGAGGCAGTTTAACATTTTAAAAAAGTTAAAATGTTAAGGCAGCCAATCAGCCCTCTGTTTTTGGTGCCAGGAAGTTTCAGGGAGGGCCTCAGGAGCGTGGGGGGGAACGACTGTTTTTACCCTCCTGGAGGCTCGAGACAGCCTCCAGAGCCTGGGGAGAGCAAAAAACGGGACTTCCTGGGTGTTTATCACAAGCCTGTTTCCGCCCTCTGGAGCCTAGGGGAGCCCATTTTCGCCCTCCCAGAGGCTTGAGGAAACTGTCCTGTTTCCGGCCTCCAGAGGGCCTCAGAGCCCAGGGGAGGCCGTTTTCACTCTCCTGGAAGCTTGAGGAACGCCTCGGGAGGGCAAAAACGCCCCTGTCCACCCTGGGGGTGTATGTCACATGCGCATTGCATTGTGGATGTAGGCAAGATTTCAGCACGTGAGAACAAAAAGATTTGCCATCACTGAACTAGGTTGTTAGAGCGCTAATTAATTAATTTACTGTATATTCTCAAGGAAGGATGTTGATGATCTTTAAACTGGTAATGGCTTGACAGTGACAATCTGTGACAAAAAAAAATATGGATAGGATTTTCTGACAAATTTCTTCCTTCCAAAATCTGGGTGTATTATGTTGCAACGTCAGCAAAGTTACCAGACTGTTTCATTACCTGGCTGGATATAAAGCTTTTCTGTCCTTGAAAAGTTCACTAGCTTCCAGTTTTTCTTCATAAATGAGCTTCTTTTGGTCTGTAAACTGATCCCTGTACTTTTTACACTGGAAATAAAGCATTGCAAATGAATCACAAAATTGAAACTGGCTTGCTCTTTTCCTATGCTTAAGATATATATATATATTTCCTATAAACATAGCCGTCAACATCAATATCAGTTCTCAATTTACATTTATGGTTTCTCTTCTGAAAGGACAGGTAGTACTCATTTAGCAACTGCCTCATTTCGTGGCCACTCACAATTATGGCAAGTGATGAAAAAGTAATTTTATGACTATATGACCTTGCATTTACAATTTTCACAGGTCTGTAACGTAAAGGAAAATTGAGGTAAGATCATAAGCTCAGTCATTGTTTCTCTTAATGACGGCTTTGCTTAACAACTGAGTTGCCTGTTCAAACTGTGGTTGTTAAATGAGGACTGCCTATATATCTATCACAAAATTCACTAAAAACCATTATTTTTTTATGCATTTTCTGTTTTAAAACTAATTACTTTAAGAACTTTCTTGAATGGAATTTGTTTCTTAGTGATTAAAAACAAACACATTAGCCTGCTGACACATAGTCTCTCTCTCTCTTCTTTCTTTAATATAATTTTATTAAGAATGTTTATTACAACAGTAAAGCCTAAACCAAACAAATTTTCAAGAAAGAGAAAGACAGAGAAAAGAGAAAAGCTGCAAGGGGAAAGAAAAAAAGAAAGAGAAGAAAAAGGAATACAACATAAAAGAGAGAAGAAATGACTTCCAGCTTTCACCATAGGTATAAACAAATTTAATAACTCTTCACTCCCCACACCCCTGGTTCCATGATTGCAAACAATTATATCTTCATCCCATATCTCATCCTTTATCAATAACCAAATCCATAAAGCATCATCTTTTCAGTATTGGTGTAAGCAGAAAATCCATAAAGAATAGTCAAAAGTAAAAACATATTTTTACATATATATGTATGTGTGTGTGTGTGTGTGTGTGTGTGTGTGTGTGT